TATGGTGGGTCAAAGAGAAAAGCACAAATGAAAATAAAATATACTTAAAACAAAATGAAAATGAAAATACAGCATATAAAAATTTGTGAGTGAAGTACATAGAGAGAAATTAATAGATTTGAAGTTTTCTATTAGAAAAGATTTGAAGGCATTGTAGCTTTCACCTTAAGAAGTTAGAAAAAGAAGAGTAAATTAAGCCCCACTTAAAAGATATAGGAAGGACTGGCCTGTTAGCTCAGTTGGTTAGAGCACTGCAGGGTTATAACACCAAGGTCAAGTGTTTGGATCCCCTTACTGGCCAGCGGCCAAAAAGCCAAAAAAAAAAAAAAAAAAGTATGGGAAAAAGAAGGTATAGGGATGACTAATAGACACATGAAAAGGTGCACAATATCATTAGTCATCAGGGAAATACAAATGAAAATTATAATGTGACATCTTAAAACTCAAAAGAATGGCTAAAATTAAATGATGGACAACATCAAATGGTGACAAGAATGTGGAACAGCCATACGGTACTTTGGAGACTTTAAAATTATATAACCATATTGGAAAACTCTTTGGTATTTTCTTGTGATGTTACACATACACTATCCTATGACCCAGCAATTCCAATCCTAAGGTTTTTATCCTTTAGAAATGCCAACATATGTCCACAAAAGGAGGCATACAGGAACATTCATAGCAGCTTTATTTATAATAAAGCCAACTGGAAACACCTTAAATATTCCTTCACCTGAGAAAAGATAAAAAAATTGCGATATATTCATACTATGGAATACTACTCAGCAATTAAAAAGAATAAAGTATGAATACATGCAACAAAATGGAAGAATTAAAAATATTGTGATAAGCTAAAGAAGTCAAAAATAAAAAAGCATGTATGTTTTTTTCCATTTACATGACATTCAAAAACAGGAAAAATTAATCTATGGTGATAGAAATCAGAGCTGCAGTTTCCTGTGGGGTGGAGAGAGACTGGAAGAAGTCACAAGGGAAGTTTCTGTGGTGACAGAAGTGTTGGTTGTGGTATTGTCACACAGGTACATCCGTTTGTCAAAACTCAACAAATTGTACACTTACATGTGTGCATTTCATTGTATGAAAATTTTATCTTACTAAAAAAAGTAAGGCATATTCCATGTGTTCTTAGAATTCATGTTTTAATGACATACCCAGCCATGAACAAGGTAAGTGATATCTCTAAAGTAGAAGCATCTTGCTTCAGGAATTAAAAGAATAATACAGATATTAATAAATTGACCTCAGTGAATAGGTAGAGAAGGGCATCTTTTTTTTTTTTTTTTTTTTTTTTTTTTTTTTTTTTTTTTTTCGCGGCAAAGGACCCGACCCCCCCCGTTCCG